CTCCTTACGTAATGGCAGAGAGAGGAGTCAACTGAGGATGAAAAGGGGGGGCTTAAGGAAAGAGAACAGCTTGTATTTATAGTGGACAAAGACTGTCCTGGCTATGTACAGGTACGGGGCTTTAGTGGTGTTTAAGTGGTAATTAGTATGAGAGGATGTTTTGTGAGAACCCTCTCACCTTCGATTTACAGACATCAATGGTGGTCTGAAATGGTTGATTTTAGAGAGCTGAAAATGTTTAATCTGAGAACAGATGATCGACAATCTTTTAAAAATATGAAATGAACTGTGAACTATTCCTTCCTTAGACAGTTCACAATGCTTGGACAATGCTTAGTATCATTTCATTACCTACAGTGGCACACCACGACACTCTCTGTGCACCTAACCACCAGCTAACCAGAGAAATGCAAATCTAACCACACAGATGGCTTTGTCCAGGACCATATTTAGAGGGCAAAGTGCAAAGTGGTGACAGTGATAAAGATACCAGGGATGAAAATATATTGGTGTAAGTTACAAGTCTGTCATCAGCCTTTTGACCCAAGCCAGCCCATAGATTCAGATGCAGCAATGTGCATGGTAGGTACATGGATGCCTGGAAATGGCTTGCTATACAGCTGGAGTTCCTGGCAAACCCAGAGGGGGAGGGGTGAATGGCACAGTTTATTGGGCTGTGACTGACTGCTTCTTAGGAAAATATAAATCTCTCACACATGAAAACACACGCACACATACACCTACACACACATATCGGGAGACTGCTGTCATACAGCTTTCTGATCATACGATCACAAGGGTCAAGGCTTTCTCGCTGACCACATGCTGTGTATGAGTGTGTTCTTCTATCTCACGATTGATAGAGTCCAGTTGAAGTAATCAGATTAGTCAGATGGGGTCCTGCTAAACTGAGCCGCTACCTGCAAGCCTCTTAGCACCATGTGAGACAGGCTGACAGCACTGACACTGCAAGGTCACACTTAGGGATAAAGCCTCAAACAGCTAGCAAAGCCCTTACACTGGCCCTTTAACTGTAGCAACCACAGAGAGAGCACCCAGGAAAGAGGTGCAACGAGAGAACATGCTCTTTTGACCCCATGGTCAAAGTGTAATTTGGTCTTAATACAGTCCAGTAATAGCACTGTAAAGTCAGATCATCCAGGTCAAACACACATCCACATCACATGTACAAAGTAAAATGTTAACAAATATTGCAAAGTGACGTTGAAACATCTACCTGCCAAAGATATGGCCCTTGGAATATATGGCATATAACAATGCCTTTTGGTTTATTGTCATGGACAGTTGTCTGAGGTATCTAATTCCCATTGTTTCAATGTCTCACATTGTTACAATGGAAACACTGTTAAATATGCAATTCTGGAAGCAACTCTCTAAAATCAGAGTAGAGTAGAAGGCTGATGACTGGTAGTAGGTAGTACAAAAATCCTTGAAAGTTGCACTATACTATTGGAGCATCTGTCTTGGACTGCATTCTCGCTTCTTCTCTCCTTCTCCCTAAGCTTTAAGTCAAAGTGGCCACCGGCAGACCTGTAGGAGGAGGGAACATGAAAGCAGCTTAGGTCCACCCCCACCCCTATTGATCGGGTGACTCCATCAAAGATCTTAGTGAAGTAATAGGAGCTATTCTGGCTCCAGCATTAATCTGTAGGTTATGAGGAGTGACTCAACTATGAATAAGCAGGCTAAAAATACATGTACGTGTGCGAATGATATACTGACATGCAATGTTGGAGTAGAACTACAGGGCAATTGTTTAACTGTTTAACTGTTAAAGGGTCACTATGAGGTTCTGAGGACTTACATTCATGTATAAGGCATCATTGTGACACATTTGGCATCTAAAGACGCACGTAGCCTAGCAGTTTAGAGCGTTGGGTCAGTAACCGAAAGGTTGCTGGTTTGAATCCCTGAGCTGACTAGGTGGAAAATATGTTGATGTGCCCTTGAGTAAGGCACTTAACCCTAATCGCTCCTGTAAGTCACTCTGGATAAGAGTGTCTGCTAAATGACTCAAATGTTTAAGAGTAGGCTGCTGAAACCAAGTGGGGCGGCCAGCTGTCTCTCTCCATAAATAGAGGCTTTGTGAAACAATCTTAGATCTCAGTGGAAAACCCCTGATTATTAATGTCAGTGACCTCTTTACACCTGCAGATTACGTCCTGCCGCCAGACACTACTGTAAACACACAGACACCTAACCCCTTCATTCACACTATTATCACACCTCGCCACGGGGAATATCTCTCTCATGCACACAAGAACAAAGACTTCTAGTAGTGCACTTACCTGAAATAACAGGTGATGGGGTAAGTAGTATACTTAAGCAATAAGGCCTGAGGGGGTGTGGTATATGGCCAATATACCATGGCTAAGGGCTGTTCTTAAGCGCAACGCAGAGTGCCTGGACACAGCACTTAGCTGTGGTATATTGGCCATATATCACAACCCCCCGAGGTGCCTTATTGCTATTATAAACTGGTTACCAACGTAATTAGAGGAGCAAAAATAACTGTTTTGTCATACCAGTGGTATACGGTCTGATATACCATGGCTGTCACCCAATCAGCATTCAGGGCTCGAACCACCCAGTTTATAAAGTGGTTTGAACACCTTTCACAAAAATCCAAAGGCATTATCCAGTTATCTAGTACTGCATATAGTTTTTTCACCCTAAGAAGTAGGCCTAACACTATTTTCCAGCAGTAGTAACCCTGCTCTGTGTTCTATAAAGCATTGAATTTACTCCAGATTAAATGTAGATGGCTTTAAGTCCCTAAGAAGCAAATAATCCTGTGCTAAAAATAGTGGTGAAGTCCCTATAGTTCAGATGTATAGGCTATTTAAAGTACCACCGCCAGGTGCCAGTTATGTATGATTATGTTATAACATGACAGTATATAGTGTCAGAGGCCAAAATTATTATTGTTAGAACACTAGTCAGGTGTAAACAGACTGGAATGGAGGTTCCACCATTTGTGGATGGGAGAAATGGCCACCTGATTATAAACGGTCTGTGACAGTCTCCCGAGTGGCGCAGTGGTCTAAGGCACTGCATCACAGTGCTAGCTATGCCACTAGAGATCCTGGTTCGAATCCAGGCTCTGTCGTAGCCGGCTGCGACCGGGAGACCCATGGGGCGGCGCACAATTAGCCCAGCGTCGTCCAGGGTAGGGGAGGGAATGGCCGGCAGGGATGTAGAGCATGGTGTTTGCAACGCCAGGGTTGTGGGGCCAGTATGAAAAATAAATAATGTATGCACTCACTAACTGTAAGTCGCTCTGGATAAGAGCGTCTGCTAAATGACTAAAGATTTGCTGCTGAACCCATCATAGGCCACAAAAACATCTCCATCTCCTCTCAGGTTCCTCCCTGATATTCAGAAACCCATGACTGGTGTCAAACAACCTAGACTGGTGCTCTATAACCTATTAGTTCATATGCCTTGCGACTGTGATATATAGGCCTAAGGCCTATAAATTTAACCATGCCTTTGTTCCATCACAAAACCGGAGCGCAACCGCTGTCCGGTGAAGTCCACAAAGCATATTGCATGTAAAAAACAGTTACATGACCTACAGCATGGTCAAGCAAGTTCATGTTTCGGACTACTAAACAACTATTGATTTAGAACCACGGGGAGTTAAGAAAACAGGAGCTGCCTCCACTATCCCAGGACCATTTCAACATCATCAAATCACTTATGCTTAGTCTAATAGAGTGACAACTAAAAGATACAAAGAAAAATGTAGTCCAATCAACGTAAGCTAAATATGATGTGGCTGTCCATGGTTCGACTTGTGTGTGTGTGTGTGTGTGTGCGTGCGTGCGTTCGTGTAAGTAGAAAAAACATGTTGACTCACCCTCCTTGTAGAGAAACGCCAATGCCATCTTCCTCTCTTTTATGTTGACGCAACGGTCATACAGTACACGCTTTTATTTGTTGTTGTCCTAGGCTACCTGACTAAAATGTTTGCTCGCTAGCTTAACTTCCTTTCATGGGCTAGTTAACATTAGCCTTCTACATCTAGCAACATAAAGAACTTCCATCCTTTCAGTCCAGGGGCACAATGTATGAGTTTATGGTTGGATCAGAGTATAATCATTGGCCAGTACAGAGAAATAAGTAAAACCACAAGTCCAAATCCCTATCTCCATCCATGGCTATTTTAGGAAAGGGCCCATTTTTGCTAGCTAGCTAGCCACCAGATGACAACAACACAAGGAGATGCAACAATTCAAGTTTTTTTCTGTAAATTACATTTTGCTCTCGATGTGATGTGATGTGATTGGAGTGAAGCCAAATCCAAACAGGCTTCCCTTGACACTATTTTTTGTTGTCCTAGGCTACCTGGCACAATGTATGAATTTATGGTTGGATCAGAATATAATCATTGCCCAGTACGGAGAAATAAGTAAAACCACAAGTCCAAATCCCTATCTCCATCCATGGATAATTTAAGAAAGGGCCAATTTTTGCTACCTAGCTAGCCACCAGATGACAACAACACAAGGAGATGCAACAATTCAAAAAATGTTCTGTCAATTACATTCTGCTCTCGATGTGATGTCATTGGAGTGAAGCCAAATCCAAACTGGCTGCCCTTGACACTTTTTTTTGGTGCACAAGGACCATTCACGGTTGAGCTCACTCAGTTTAGCTTTACGCTGATTGGCTATTCTTTTATACTTTTTTAAATCAAGGGAGACCACATGCTCGCTGGCTTCCCTTGCATTCAATGCTACAGGCGGCAACAATGTAATACTCTTCATGACCAGACAGAATCAGATAGATGGCCTACAAATACAAAGACAGAGGGGCGCTGTTTCTCTCGCTTGGATGCTTTCTCAGGTGATTTACTGTGCCTTCAGCCTTTTGCGAATTGAAGGAAAATTATGAAAACACAGAGAAACAAAAATGTATTTGTAAATTTTTTCAGGATGCCTGACTTCCCTTGGCATCCATGAATACACGCCACTGGTGTCAAAACACAAATGATAACATCTGGCTTTATTTATCTTTTACTTGGGTAATAGACAGCATGCATATAACAATACAGCAGCAATGCAGCATAGCAATATGACGTCTTTGTCCAATAGAATGAATGTAAAAGTTCCAATAGTAATTACAATCAAGATGATTTCTTTTTGCAAGTGGTAATGAATGAGGCCGTAATTAATGTTCTACAAACCGTTGCATAGCCCCTACAGTTCCAACTCTCTGAGAGACTGACTGTTATCCACCACAATGCATGGTACAGGATCCTCAAAATCATCATCTTCCTCTTCACAATCATAGCTATCCTTCAAGCAGCGGAAGCAGAACTCCTTATCGCAGTGTGGACAGATGATATTGGGGCATCCCTCTCCAGTGTGAGTGAGGATGGCCTTACAGCCAGGACAGGCCCTGAAGAAGGGGCATCCCTGGGCTGAACTGCAGGGATCAACTATGACCTCTGGGGAGAGGAGGGCAGCCCTGAGGGCACAGCCTGGCAGAGGGCAGGAGAAATGGCCCCCTTGGCCCCCCGGGGCTCCTCCTGACTGGGGCCACTCCCTCCCACAGGCCCAGCAGAACTGGTAGACACGGCGCAGGGCCATGGAGCAGTGCTGACAGACAGCACACTGACCTTTGACCTTTCTGGCCCCAGCCTGGTGGCAGCCAGGGCACTTCAGTGTGGTTGGAGGAACAGACTGGTGAGGGGTGGGGAGAGGAAAGAGAGAGACATATAATGTCATAAACCATTATTTGTGAGATTAAGATTAACAACCTAATGATTAAATTGTCTGTAAACAGTGTGGGTCAATAAACATAACACATAGTCATAGAAATGCTCAACCTTACACTGTGGACAATAATCAATCTTAATAACTTAATGCTGTCCTATAGTGGCTCTGGACAGCCCGTCTTGCTTGGCACCAGAAATAGTGAGTACAATGCGCTGACGCCATACTTTGTCTCTGTGGAGGTGTTACACAGCTTACCTGTGCGAGCAGGAGTGAGCCACTCATTATCAACTGTCCTCTGAGAGGCTAGGGAAATAGAAAATTACAGTAAAGAGAGTCAAGTGAAATCAGGTAGACGTATTCTAAGTAAAGGGCTCTTCTATTCTATGAAACTTCCAGGAACATACCTTTTTATTGATTGCTATATTAACCACATTTAAAGTGATTCCTTGTGAAAATACCGTACATAATTTTATTTCAAAACACTATCTTATGAATCAAAGAACACAGTTCAAAGATTAATTATGTACTACTTGATTTACTTGGATGTACACTCCCTATAAAACATTGATCTATCAATCTGCAAGCATACCAATGACATACAATCATTTTTTATTACCTTTTAATCATAAGTCAGTTCCAACAGAAAAAACATCAGCTCCTCTTCCTTTCTATTCTCAAATCCACTGTGAGAGGACAGTATGTGCTTTTGTTTTTCATCTCACAGAACAGGGGGAATTCCAAGACTTGAACTGAAAGTTACTTGAGATGGCCATTCAATTTTCACTTTCACTTAGAACTAACTGGGTCTAATGCAGAGTGATCTTGTATTTTTGTTCACTACTACACCACCATACTTTCTGAACCCTACAATACATACATGACACCCTGCATATTTATAAACTCTGGTAATTACAGTACATACAGTATACATGTATTTATTGTTGCTGTGAACATGAATTGTTCAAGTGTCATTTGCTATTTCCATGAACTTTTAAAAGTGTTGTTGCGCACGAGAGAGAAAGAGAACTGCGGGTTTTCAGTGAATTTATGTAAATCACGAGGCTCATTTTAATTTCCTGAGGCGCAGTAACACTCTCAGCGACAATGTTATTGTAATGGTGAGAGGTTAGCATGTCTTGGGGGTATGATATTTGTATGTCTTGTGTTACTATTTTGTATTATTATGTTTAAATTCTGCATCATTGGCAAGGGCTCTCACTCATCATTATTCACGATTCATTCAGGATGATCCCTAATCATGATAGCATTCACATTAATGTAAACGTTTTTAGAAACATATTCTATTCTTATTTACAATAAAAGTGAATCCAAAATGACACAATACATTATTTACCATTAATTTCTATTAGGCACAAAATAATCTGAAACACAACCTAAACAAACAGCAAATGCAGTCACAAGCTTGATATAATCATTAAGTGAATTTTTCCCAATATTTGTGGTCCCCTAAAATGGGGTGACTATGTACAAAAAGTGCTGTAATTTCTAAACGGATCAGCCGATATGGACGAAAGTACCCTCAATCATGATCACTTGATTTTTGTAAAGTTCATGCAGTCGACATGTAGTCTGACAATTTTGATCCCCATAATGCAACACACTTTGAAAGGCGGTGACCAACAATGGTCACTGATTTGACAAAAGTGATGCGCTGGAACACGGCCATTATGTACAAATGAATGTGATATTTAAGTCCCTCTCTCTCCAATTGATTGTACAATATACACACATATTTTCAGTTTGTGAGTGTGATATGGGGGTTGAAGACATGTTTATTTTGACATTATAATGAACAACTGTTATAAACAATGGCAACACTGCCATGTTGCACTGAGCCTTGCTGTTGGCTCTGCCATTTCCTGGTTGCTAAAATTCTTATAGTCGCCTAATTTCAATTAATGTGGCAAAACAAGCAATGTATAGTGTAGAGAATCAATGTACTGTCTAAATCGCTGTGAAATATCTTTCAATAACCAAAAATATTGTATTTTCAGCTGTTTAAAGCTGGTGTACAATACCGAAAGTAAAAGACCCAAAAACAAAAATTAAGAATGGAAAGCATAGAAATAGCGCACATAGAACATATCTACCGCTTCTTAGACTTGCTTTCAATTCCATATCTATAACTCACATTTCTATGTGAATTTGGTCGGGTCGCCCAAAAAGTTACATATTGCAGCTTTAAGGGAGTATGTGAGGCACAGAAGTTGGCTGTGTTCGAGAGCATCAAAATCGTGATGTATCATGACTGACTGATCAACAAATAATAATGAGTCGTTATTTATGATGCAAGGTGATTTGTAGATCAGTCAGTCGGCAGTCGCCTGCACTGTTGAACAAGACCGTTCACTTCACCTAGCCGAGTTCTGCTAGGAGCAAACCGAACATAGTATGCAGACGCCTTAACCCCTACCCTTACCCTAACCCTAACCTTAACCATAACCCTTACCTAACTCTAACTCTCACCTTAACCGTCAGAGTTGGACGTTCCAAAGACCCGAGGACGTGTTTCTGCACGAGCTAAAGTAGGGCGGCAGGTAGCCTAGCGGTTAGAGAGGCGAGCCAGGAACCGGAGGGTTGCCGGTTCGAATTCCGGGTCCGACGGGAAAAAATATGGCGGGAAGTGAGCTGGAAACCGGAGATGTTAGCTGGTATCAAATCCTAGATTTGTCTGCTGTTATGCCCTCGAGTAAGGCACTTAACCCCCCACAACAACAGCTCCCAGGGTGCCCAGTGTAGCAGGCCCCCGCGCTGCTCCAAAACTTGTGTGTATGTTTTTCGGTGGGGTTGGGTTAAAAACGGAAGTCACATTTCGGTTGGAGACCTTATGTGCAATTGACCAATAAAGTGATCTCTACATTGCCTACAAGTGTGATTTGGGATTTCTATTGAAGAAGCAGTTTCTACATATATGCAGATAAACGGATGGGCACTAAACTGTAGTAGCCTATTTCGTATAGCCAAAGATGATATTGACAAGATACAACAATGGAAATACATGTCCTCAATGATTGAATGCAGGTGGGACCATTATATCCAATGAGAGGGCAGATACGAGTGTGAACAATAAGTTGTTTCTCTCAAAGTTGCCGGAATGCCATGTGCATCCACTTATATCAGTACATTTTAGTGCTTTGCGATTAACTGAAATGTTTGTTATAAAAAAAAAAAAATTAACAACTAACTGACCAACAAAATTGGTTAAATTATTTGAATTCCATTTTGTTCTGTTTTTTTCTGTGAGCTCAATACACAGTTTTTCTAGAGATAAATCAGATCAAGCCCAAACTGTGCGATGTAGTAGGGAGTTGTAGTTTCCAACAGGCCAATCAATATTCTACATAGTTTAATGCAGAAAACGTGGTAATTAACTACCATAATCCAGCCTAAGATTTTCACTGTACACTGCAATCATACTTGCAACCCTGTACATGTGACTATTAAACACTGAACTGAATCTCTGAATCTGAACTACTAAAATAGTGATTTTGTCAGACAGCGTAGGCAGCAGCTCTATAGAGATGAGATGACAACCTCAAAAAGCACTAATTGCTCAGCACTAGTACATTTGTATTAGCCTAAACATTATGAAGATTCTATTTGATCAAATAAGCCTTGTAATTCGACACTCTCTCATAGACCTCCATACAAAAAGGGCTGATCTCATTCTGACAGTTATGGGGCAGAGTAAATCCTCTTGCTTCGCCTCTTCCTCTCTGATATAGCTCATGTGAAGGAAGACTGATTAATAAGGGGCGGGATAGCGTCACACTGCTTTTGCTTATTGATTTGCTGAGATGACACACCAGGCAATATTTCTAATTCTGACCAATGCGCAGATTAGAGCAAGATTCTTGGGTGGAGCATTTCATATCATTGCATGTTTATGTAAGCATGTTCATTTCTACTATAAAATCTGCCAAAGTTTCTGTTTTTGAAGTAATGTCAATGTCAGCTGAAGTGTGAATGAAATTCCCCAGACATGGATACTGTATCAGACTTGATGCTTGCGAGGGGACTGCTGTTCATGAGTGGCTTCACTGTTATGTATTACATGTCGAATGGTCCTGTGAATGCTGATGTGAATTCAGAGTGTATGTGCTGTCAGAAGTTTGGCAAGCTGATTTAAAGGCAAATAGTTGGACAATGGGCAGGTAAGGTACATGCTATGTAAAGCATGTTTTATTTATCTGAGTAATCATGCATTACAGTATATTTGTTTATGAAAATATCTGTAATTTCATTTAGAAAAACATGCATTTTGTCAATGACTGTTGAATGAAAGAACTGACAGATTTCTGAACAGATTATTATATTTTAAGAGGTGTGTCTATTACCATCATTGTTTTCCCATCTTTAGCAGTAGATGATAGGGAAGCAAATGTTCTTTTGCTGATTTAGCGGGGCCTGATGCAGGATATTAACGATAGGATGATTTTGGTTCAGCTAAAGTGAGGTGTTTTACAAAATAGGTGAATATATTGCATAGCTCATTGTCAACTCTACTTTGAGTTATACATTTACATTTTAGTCATTTAGCAGACGCTCTTATCCAGAGCGACTTACAGTTAGTGAGTACATAATAATAATTTATTTTTTCATACTGGCCCCCCGTGGGAATCGACCCCATAAGCCTGGCGTTGCAAGCAACATGCTCTACCAACTGAGCTACACAGGGCTCAGTATGTAACAGTTGCACTTAGCCATCACTATGACTAAAAAGAGAGTGCATGGGAAGGCCTTCTCTTAGTCATAATGATGGCTAAGTTACATGATACTTCAGACTTTCTCTACAAGAGAAACAATACAGTAGACTGAATTGATCATGCTTCCCCTGTGCACCTAACCCTAGCCCTGTTCAATGGAAGACTGAGAGAGACAAGTCACATTCCACTTTACAGCTCACTATTTTGCCCTAAACCCAAGATGATATCTGCTGTTAGGTGTAACAGGATTTGTGTGGGTACTGGTCCACTTCAGTCTCATGTGGAACAAAACTTCCCTGTTGGTTATTGCAGCACGTCTGTTTATGCTATTTTATGGCTTTGACAGCAGTTGGAGAAAAGTTGTTGCCGATGTTAATAGTGCTGAACAATGTCCACTATAAAACAATTTACAAGTATCTGATGACAAACAGTAGTATGCTTCCACTGAGCACACCAGGAAAGCAACATTTCTCCCAGCATTGTGAAATAGAGGGAGAGAGACAACCTGCAGACAACCTCCATCCTGCAGTCACATCCAGTGTCTGACCAGACCTCTGTCAGAGACCTCCACTGCAAAGGATGAGAAGACATTAGTAGTAAAGATGTAATTATGGATGTCTGCTGACTAACTACACTATATATACAAAAGTATGTGGACACCCCTTCACATTAGTGGATTTGGCTATTTCAGCCACACCTGTTGCTGACAGGTGTATAAAATCAAGCACACAGCCATGCAATCTCCATAGACAAACATTGGCAGTAGAATGGCCTTACTGAAGAGCTCAGTGACTGACTTTCAACGTGGCACTGTCATAGGATGCCACCTTTCCAACAAATCATTTTGTCTAATTTCTGCCCTGCTAAAGCTTCCCCGGTCAACTGTAAGTGCTGTTATTGTGAAGTAGAAACGTCTAGGAGCAACAACGGCTCACCGTGAAGTGGTAGGTCACACAAGCTCACAGAACGGTACCACCGAGTGCTGAAGCGCGTAATGCGTAAAAATTCAAACTGCCTCTAGAAGCAACGTCAGCACAATAACTGTTTGTTGGGAGCTTCATGAAATAGGATTCCACGGCCGAGCAGCCGCACACAAGCCTAAGATCACCATGCGCAATACCAAGCGTCGGCTGGAGTGGTGTAAACCTCGCCGCCATTGGACTCTGGAGCAGTGGAAATGCGTTCTCTGGAGTGATGAGTCACGCTTCACCATCTGGCAGTCCGACGGACAAATCTGGGTTTGGCGGATGCCAGGAGAACGCTACCTGCCCGAATGCATAGTGCCAACTGTAAAGTTTGGTGGAGGAGGAATAATGATCTGGGGCTGTTTTTCATGGTTCGGGCTAGGCCCCTTTATTCCAGTGAAGGGAAATCTTAACGCTACAGCATACAATTACATTCTAGATGATTCTGTGCTTCCAACTTCGTGGCAACAGTTTGGGGAAGGCCCTTTCCTGTTTTAGCATGACAATGCCCCCCTGCACAAAGCGAGGTCCATGCAGAAATGGTTTGTCGAGATCGGTGTGGAAGAACTTGACTGGCCTGCACAGAGCCCTGACCTCAACCCCATCGAACGCCTTTGGAATTAATTGGAATTAGTTGGTGCATTTCCTGGACATGCCCAACCCTGAGCAGGTAGGATTCCCAAACCCCTGCTGACAATCTCACATAAATCATCTATGGCGTTGGGCAAAAATATTGGCACCACCTTTTTCAAATAATGCACAATCTCTTCCAGAGAACTGTTGAAATTAACAAATATTTTGGTATCCACATATGTATGTCCTGGGGTTGAAGTTGAACAAAACAAAAACATCTGAATAATCTATTAAATGTTAGCTTATTCAACAAAGAAATTCTAAAATGGCCTGGCCAATATTATTGGCACCTTCAAGCAGGTGATTCTCATTTACTTTGGAATTGAACTTACCTGTTGTGTGTTGCAGGTGCCTGCAATATAAAAATCACTCATACAACCAGTTTGAATAGAGAAAATAACTCATTCTTCTGTTTTGTGTCACTGTGTGTGCCACAATAAGCATGGAGAAAAGAAAGAAAACCAGATAATTATCTGAGGAGGTCAGACACAAGATTGTAGCAAAGCATGGACAATCTCAAGGCTACAAGTCCATCTCCAGTGACCTTGATGTTCCTGTTTCCACCGAACGTAATGTTATCAAGAAGTTTAAGGCCCATGCCACTGTAGCCAACCTCACTGGACATGGCCGCAAGAGCAAGCTTGATGGAAGATTGCATCGAAGGATTGTTCGAATGGTGGAGAAAGCACCTCGATCAACTGCCACACAGATTCAAGCTGACCTTCAGACACAAGGTACGACAGTTTCAACTTGCACCATCCGTCGCCAACTCAATGAAAGAGGGTTATATGGTAGGAGACCCAGGAGGACCCCACTGCTGAGAGAGATATATAAGAAAGCCTAACTGCAATTTGCCAAAACACACCTGAACATGCAAAAATCCTTCTGGGCGAATGTCCTGTGGACAGATGAGACCCAATTAAAGCTTTTTGGTAAAGCACACCATCTCTGTTTACAGAAAACAAAATTAAGCCTTTAAAGAAAATAACCCCTTCCTTCCCTACAGTCAAACATGGAGGAGGTTCAGTGATGTTTTGGGGTTGCTTTGCTGCCTCTGGCACTGGGTGCCTTGAACGTGTGCATGGCATCATGAAATCAGGAGAATACCATTTTGGAGCACAATGTCGGACCCAGTGTCAGAAAGCTGGGTCTCTGTCGAAGGTCATGGGTCTTCCAGCAGGACAATGACCCCAAACACACTTCAAAAAGCACCCTGGAATGGTTCAAGACAAAACTTGACTGTTCTGAAGTGGCCAGCAATGAGTCCAGATCCAAAATCCCATTGAACACTTGTGGAGAGATCTGAAAACAGCAGTTGGGAGTACGCACGCTTCAAATCTGGGACAACTGGAGCAGTTTGCACAAGAGGAGTGGGCTTACTGCCAGTACAGAGGTTCTGTTACATTACAGCCTTATTCTAAAATGGATTCAATAAAAAAAAATCCTCATCAATCTACACACAATACCCCATAATGACAAAGCGAAAACAGGTTTTTAGAAATACTTATTTCCCTCATTAAAATGCAAATCAATTTATAACATTTTTGACCTGCGTTTTTCTTGATTATTTTGTTGTTATTCTGTCTCTCACTGTTCAAATAAACCTACCATTAAAATTATAGACGGATCATTTCTTTGTCAGTGGGCAAACGTACAAAATCAGCAGGGGATCAAATACTTTTTTCCCTCACTGTAGTACTATTTTTGCTATCAACAGTCACAAGTCATTTTTGTGATCTTGATTTTCAAAAAAATTAATACAAAGACAATTACTATTGTTTATTTTATTGCATTTTACCAACCCATTCACAAATTAATGTCAAATACTTGTTACTGAGTAACATACAGTGGCTTGCGAAAGTATTCACCCTCCTTGGCATTTTTCCTATTTTGTTGCCTTACAATCTGGAATTAAAATGGATTTTTGGGGGTTTGTCTCATTTGATTTACACAACATGCCTACCACTTTGAAGATGCAAAATATTTTATTTTGTGAAACAAACAAGAAATAAGACAAAAAAACTGAAAACTTGAGCGTGCATAACTATTTACCCCCCCAAAGTCAATACTTTGTAGAGCCACCTTTTGCAGCAATTACTGCTGCAAGTCTCTTGGGGTATGTCTCTATAAGCTTGGCACATCTAGCCACAGATTTTTGCCCATTCTTCAAGGCAAAACTGCTCCAGCTCCTTCAAGTTGGATGGGTTCTGCTGGTGTACAGCAATCTTTAAGTCATACAACAGATTCTCAATTGGATTGAAGTCTGGGCTTTGACTAGGCCATTCCAAGACATTTAAATGTTTCCCCTTAAATCACTCAAGTGTTGCTTTAGCAGTATGCTTAGGGTCATTGTCCTGCTGGAAGGTGAACCTCCATCACAATCTCAAATCTCTGGAAGACTGAAACAGGTTTCCCCCAAGAATTTCCCTGTATTTAGCGCCATCCATCATTCCTTCAATTCTGACCAGTTTCCCAGTCCCTGCCGATGAAAAACATCCCCACAGCATGATGCTGCCACCACCATGCTTCACTGTGGGGATGGTGTTCTCGGGGTGATGAGAGGTGTTGGGTTTACGCCAGACAGCGTTTTCCTTGATGGCCAAAAAGCTCAATTTTAGTCTCATCTGACCAGAGTACCTTCTTCCATATGTTTGGGGAGTCTCCCACATAGCTTCTGGCAAACACCAAACACCATTACATTTGCTTATTTTTTTCTTTAAGCAATGTCTTTTTTCTGGCCACTCTTCAGTAAAGCCCAGCTCTGTAGAGTGTACGGCTTTAAGTGGTCCTATGGACAGATACTTCAATCTCCGCTGTGGAGCTTTGCAGCTCCTTCAGGGTTATCTTTGGTCTCTTTGTTGCCTCTCTGATTAACGCCCTCCTTCCCTGGTACGTGAGTTTTGGTGGGCGGCCCTCTCTTGGCAGGTTTGTTGTGGTGCCATATTCTTTCAATTTTTTTATAATGGATTGAATGGTCCTCCGTGGGATGTTCAAAGTTTCTGATATTTATTTATAGCCCAACCCTGATCTGTACTCCACAACTATGTCCCTGACCGGTTAGGAGAGCTCCTTGGTCTTCATGGTTCCGCTTGCTTAGTGGTGTTGCAGACTCTGGGGCCTTTCAGAACAGGTGTATATATACTGAGATTGTGACAGATCATGTGACACTTAGATTGCACACAGGTGGACTCTATAACTAATTATGTGACTTCTGAAGGTAATTGGTTGCACCAGATCTTATTTAGGGGCGTCATAGCAAAGGGGGTGAATACATAAGCACGCACCACTTTTCCGTTATTTATTTTTTAGAATTTTTTGAAACAAGTTATTTTTTTCATTTCACTTCACCAATTTGGACTATTTTGTGTATGTCCATTACATGAAATCCAAATAAAAATCTATTTAATTACAGGTTGTAATGCAACATAATAGGAAAAATGCCAAGGGGGATGAATACTTTTGCAAGGCACTGTATGTGTAGAGGAAACAGTATGTTATACGTTGTCTATTCTTACTCTTGAATAAAGTATGACCTGCGGAACTAGCTCGTGGCTTATCTGGCACTCAATGATAAATCCACAGACGCTGGAGAAGTCTTTGTGTGACAACCTGAGAACTGTACATGGATTCTGAGCAGTCAGAAACATATAGTAACTTCATAGTTCTCTTTATAGTCCTGTTAAATGTATAAGCTTTCCCATAGCGACTAATACATGCCTCAATTAGTATTTAAAAATAGCTTTCATGAATACAAACCTCCTTGCAGTAACATTCTGTTTCCAACATTTGTACATAAGAAAAGCACAGCAAAGAATTCAAATAGTTTTTCCAAGTAACAATTAATGAAATGCTCCTTAGCATTTGGCATAAGGTTGCTACATAAAAAAATTGACAAAATAAATTAGCAATTCATATTTAATTTGCCAGTTAGTGCCTTTGTGATTTTGTAACATGACACAATATTGTCAAGCATTAGGGACTCATCTAGTTTAGAGCGGGGTCAGGAAGTTTGAATTCATGTTCCATCGTGGACCACATAGTAGTCCGGAAAAGCAGCATTTCAAGCATGACCGATTGGTGAGTGACCCAAAATCCTAAGAGATCATGTGGTCCAGACAGTCATAAGCTTAGCCAAACTGGGTCACAATCTGAAGAAGAATATGCTGGGAAAAGGGGTCAATGGAAAGAGAATGTACCAGCATCAAATAACAAATAAAATAACACACATTTCTAGTTTCCATAGCTAGTAAACATATGTAGCCTTTTCTCCATTTCAGAATCCATAGTTGGAACTCAACTCTTCTTCTACTCCATTAAATTACAGTATGAACAAATAAATATACACTGAGTGTACAAAACATGACAGACTAACCCAGGTGAATCCAGGTAAAAGCTATGATCCCTTATTGAGGTCACTTGTTAAATCCACTTAATCAGTGTAGGGAGGAGACAGGTTAAATACGAATGTTTAAGCCTTGAGACATGGATTGTGTATGTGTGCGATTCAGAGGGTGAATGGGCAAGACAAAATATTTAAGTGCAAGGTATGGTAGGCTGTTCTGAGGGCAAAAGGGGGTGCAACTCAATATTAGGAAGGTGTTCCTAATGTTTTATACACTCAGTGTATTACAGACGGTAAGTAGGTACCACTGTGACTGACTAGGTGTCGAATGTGTTCATTTGTGAAATTAGTAGATGTGTAAATGAGTTACATTACAAGGTGTGAAACTATGTGCCTATGAAACAGAGCTATACTATTAAGTCCTGTTGTGTAGCGTGTCTGTGTGTTTATTGTCTAACTAACACATACGTTATGTACCTCATATATGTTAAGCATTTAACAGACTGCCCTTTCTATTATGTTCAGGATTAAGTTAGTTACATGACATATTGATCCCATAAACACACAGAGTGACACACTCAAAGCTCAGTGCACGTGACTGGGGTGAGACCATGAATCAAGAGGGTTGGGCCTAAACCGTGAGTCACAGCTTCCAACTGACTGAGGTATTGTTGTGATTGGCTAGAGTGAGTAGGGGGGCGTGGTAAATACAGGAAGCGGACAGCAGCCTGAGCACTGTGCTCCATCAGCAGGCAGTTGACTGCAGACAGGAAGTCCTCTGAGAGGGCTGGGGCCGGCCTCGTCAGGCCTAGCTCCCCCAGCTCTGGGTCTGGTGTCTGTTTCTGTCCGTAGAGCTGCACCACTGAGTCCCAGGGCACTATCTTGATGGAGGCCCTGATCCTCAGCTTCCTCAACAGCTCCCGGAAGGTCTCCTCTTTAACCACCCAGCCCTGGTCGCTTGACTCTGCCTCCACACACAGAAATATTCTCATTCTGGCATGGCGCCATCTGCTGGCCATGTTGAGAACACACGCCATCTGCAGCAGGAAAAGGCTGCACACGTCGACAGAGGCTGCTGAGGTGCTGCCCGGCCGCAGCAGGTTGAGGGGCCAGACGTCGATGATCCTCTCAGCCCCGTCCGTCTTGGTCCCCATGCTCTCCCCCTGCAGCTGGGAGAAGTAGCGGCCCAGACACACGTTCTTACTCATTTTGATGGCATCTGAGATGATTCCCACATACTCCTCTGGCGTGAGCCAGCGTGGGCTCTCCACATGGCGAACTGGGGGGAAGTGGGCTTGCAGAGAGGGCAGATCTACCCCAAAATCATCCCCTCCGGCCTCTTCTGACTCATAGAAGGCAGGGTCTTGGAGGAAGTAGTCCTCAGGGGTGCAACTGTCGTAGAACCCCAAGACCAGAGTGTTGGGCTTCATGCCGCCTTGAAGAGATAAAGAAGAGTTTTATGTTCCATTTTCCAAAGTAGTAATATTATTATTAATACATTATGTCAATGCTCTTTACGACACAGTTGGTGTGAAGAGGAGGAAAACAACAAACAATGATCCAGAATGGTAAGTAGAAGGTTGTGTGACTCACCCAGGCCGGTGATGCGCAGCAGATGCTGTGTGCCCTGTCTCACAGAGGTGGACAGAGTCAGGTCCACAAAGGCCTTCACCCCCAGCTTATCCACCAGACTCAGCCAGAAGTTATACTGCTGCTGGACAGGGTCTGAGGGCAGGGTGTCTGAAACAGAAGAGAGGCTGGCTGAGTGACTGCATTGCCTGGATTCCCAAACAAGAGAAGAGCCAAACTAGTTTCCCTTAAATGTTCTATGGGGTACAAAATTATTGACATACTTGATAAAGATGAGCAAACATGACTGTATAAAATAAATAATTCATAATCCTACACTAGGTATACAAAACATTAAGAACACCTTCTCTTTCCATGACATAGACTGACCAGGTAAAACCAGGTGAAAGCTATGATCCCTTATTGATGTCACTTGTTAAATCCACTTCAAATCAGTGTAGACGAAGGGGAGGAGACAGGTTCAAGGAAGATTTTTAAGCCTCGAGACAATTGAGATATGGATTGTGTATGTGCGCCATTCAGAGGGTGAAAGGGCACGACGAAAGATTTAAGTGCCTTTGAACGGGTTATGGCAGTAGGTGCCAGGCGTACCGGTTTGTGTCAAGAACTGTAACACTGCTGGATTTTTCACGCTCAACTGTTTCCTGTGTGTATCAAGAATTGTCCACCACCCAAAGGACATCCAGCCAATTTGACACAACTGTGGAAAGCATTGGAGTCAACATGGGCCAGCATCCCTGTGGAATGCTTTCGACACCTTGTAGAGTCCATGCCCTGACGAATTGAGGCTTTTCCAACTCAATATTAGGAAGGAGTTCCTAATATTTGGTATACTCCAAAAGATTCTGAAATTATATTATTTGAAACGAATGCAATTGCTCAGAGAAATACATTTTGTTCAACAAGTAATACTTTTTTTCTCTCAAAATGGTAGGGGTCAAAATTGTCACCACTGTTTTCAGTGCCTCGCCTTCCAAGGATAACAGCACTGAGCCTTTTTCTCAAATGTTTTATGAGCTGGAGAACACATTGGAAGGGATCTTAGACCATTCCTCCATATAGAATCCTTCCGGATCTATGTTATCCTTCATCTGTGCTTATGGACTGCCCTCTTCAATTCAAACCACAGGTTTCCAATGGGTTTCAAGTCCAGCGACTGAAAAGGCCATTGCAAAATGTTGATTCTGTGGTCAATTAACAATTTCTTTGTGGATATTGATGTGTGCTCAGGGTTATTGTCATGCTGGAAGATCCACTAGCGGTCAAGGTTCAGCCTCTGTCCTGGTACTGTGTAAAGTTAATGATGCCATTGACCTTAACAAGGGCCCCAGGACCAGAGGAAGCAATATAGCCCCACAACATCAAAGATCCACCACCATATTTTACATTAGGTATGGGATTATTTTCTGCTTTTCCACACCAAACCCACCACTAGTGTGCATGGCCTAAATGCTAGATTAATGTCATCTGACTGGTTCCAATCCAAGTGCCAATGCAATTTAGCAAACTCCAGGTGTTTACCTTTAATGGATGACATGATAATAGAGCAGCTCTTAGTATAAAATAATATAATTTACCAATTTTTAGAGCATACAATATAGCTCAGTATTTGAATTATTTATTTTACATAGTCAATTTTGCTCATCTTTATCAAGGGTGTCAATCATTTCAGACCCCAGAAATATCACACTCAGATTACACCTTTTGCAATCAAATAGTGGAAGCTTTAAGTTTCATGCCATTGTAAAAATGACAAGCATTTATTGTAAGAGTCATAATCACATGATGCCACTGGCACCAGAACCCCAGTCACCACCCCTATGTTACCCAGATCGCCCAGCTTCACGTGCCCCAGCACAAACAAGCCACCCTTCTTCAGCTGATTGACAAAGTTGATGAGCTGGCAGGAGGAGCGAGGGTTGGCCACCATCAACAACACCTGGGGCCTCCAGAACTTCACATGGTCCTTCCTCACATCCAGCATCAGTAGATACTTGCGCACCTACAGGAGAGGGGGAATGGGGGGGGAACGTAGATTCAAGGCACCAAGAACAACAGCGGTGACATACCCCAGGGTCCTGTTTAGTGGGGAAAACCGTAGCAAAATATTTTGCATCAGAAAACCTACATCTGTTTTCTAAACTGAACACCTTCAGGTAGTTCTTCACCATTTCAAAATGTTTCCTCCCTACTGAACACGATCCAGGAACAGGCACACGAGTGTGTCTATGTGTGTGATGTGTGTGCGTCTCCAGGTGTGGGTACCTGATGGAAGATGAGAGCCTGGCTGATGTATCCCCAGCTGCTGGTGGGTGATCTGTAGTGCAGGAAGAGCAACAGCAGCAAGAGGAGGACGATGCTGGCTGAAGAGTAGACGGGATTAATGACAAACATCATCACCAGACAGCTCAGAATGCCCAGCAGACATGTGTGCCAGGAGAACACCTGGAAGGTGGGCCTGGAGAGATAGAATGGCAAGTGAAACCGGGGAAAGGTGAAAGACAGGTAAAATCTAGACTAGACTGGACACTGATGGTCAAAAGTATCCTAGATAAACCCTACTTCACTAAGGACAACGACATCAAAACACAAAAAGAAGAGCATCAGCGCAAGGTCATTGTCTGCTTTTTTAAAATCCGATTGTACAGCATGATGCTAGGATCTGATTACCTGAAGTTGGGGGCCGATGCCCACTCTAGAGCCAGACAGGCCAGGTCGACAGCAGCATAGGCCAGCAGGTAGAACACTGTCACAAGGCCAGCTATGGCATTAAGCTGGCCTGCAAACACCACACACTGCAACAGTCACACCAAAAACACTATCTCAGAGCCTGTTTAAATGTCAAAAGTAGCACTGCACTGCTCAATACGATACAACTATGTCCTCTCCTCACCTGTGCCAAGCCCCAGGTGTACAGCACTGCCACCCATGGGTTACCTGAGCTGGAAGTGGTAGCAGCAGGAGCCAATGGAAAACCTATGGGTAACACAACATCACAACATTATTCTCCTTATTTTGTATTAGCCAAAAACATGTCCTTTACTCTGTTACTCTTTTATTGTGAAACTTGTTCAACAACATCCTTACCAAACAGTTGGTCCAGTGCGAGGGCATGGAGGATCCGGGACGCCCCAATCAGAGAGCACATGGCTGCTGACAGGGCGGAACAGTAGATCCCAATGGTTACAAATGGCGGCCAGATGTTTATACGCTGGAAGAATCCGTAATCCTGAACCAACAGGGTCCTAAACAAAATACATTAATTAGTTGACTGTATTAAAGTATATAGCAACAGTATGAGTTCCCACCACTCCCAGCCTCATCCACTCAGACCTTTCACAGGTGGAGCTGGCCAGGACAAAGAGCAGGACATAGACTATGCAGGTGTAGAGGACTGCAATAATGGTGCCTTTGGGAATGGCAGCACTGGGGTTCTTCAGCTCTCCTACAGACAACAGATTAAAGGAAAGATAGTGGAACATGTCAAGTTTGAGTCTGTATGTGAAGCTTAGTGAGATGTGAAGTAATGGAACTAAAATATTCCATTACCTTTAGTCAGAATGCATATGGCACCGGTAAAGTAACAACTACACTGAGTATACAAAACATTAAGAACACCTGATCTTTCCATGACATAGACTGAGCAGGTGAAAGCTATGATCAATTATTGATGTCACTTGTTAAATCCACTTCAAATCAGTGTAGATGAAGGGGAGGGGTCAGGTTAAAGAAGGACTTTCAAGATGGATTGTGTATGTGTGCCATTCAGAGGGTGAATGGGAAAGACAAAATATTTAAGCGCCTTTGAACAGGGAATGGTAGTAGGTGCCAAGCGCACCGGTTTGTGTCAAGAACTGCAACGCTGCTGGGTTTCATGCTCAACAGTTTCCCGTGTGTATCAAGAATGGTCCACCACCCAAAGGACATCCAGCCAACTTTATACAACTGTGGGAAGCATTGGAATCAACATGGGCCAGCATCCCTGTGGAACACTTTCAACACCTTGTAGAGTCTATGCCCTGACGAATTGAGGCTGTTCTGAGGGCAAAAGGGTGGGTATACTCAGTATATTATGATGCGTGTGGAGAGTACCTGACATGTTTGCTCCGGCCATGATTCCGGTACAGCTGGTGAACATGACAGCGAACACAGTGGCGAATGACATGACTTTACCGGTGCTGTAGTCCACAGTGTAGCCCGCTGAAGAGGAAAAAGAGGAAGAACACTGTTGCTATAACTGCTCTCTCTCTCTCAAACCATAAAACTAACAACTCTATACATGTACTGTTTCACTTCCCAATCAAGGATTATTATACCTATAATGCATCTGAAGTATGACCCCTGCCAGACAGTACTCACAACCCAGGTTGTCCCTCAGTGTGGTGCCATTGAAGCCTGTGTAGCTGGCGTTGTAGGTGAGGGTCTGGTTGCCAGGGCCCTGGTGGGTGATGAGAAAGGTTAGGGGCGTGGTCAGCGCCAGGGGGCTGATGTAGATGGACAGCAGGGAGATGGTCACCACCAGCAGGATGAGGAAGGAGGTGCGGGCGAAGATGTGGGCACCCACTAGGCACACCACCAGAACCAGCAGGAGAACTATGGAAGAGTACAGCACTGTGTACCAGTATCCCTGGGGAAGCACCCGCAACGCAGAGGAGGATGCTGAGGTGGGAGGTGGACAAAGAAGACAAGATGGAGGATAAAACACTGGGTGGAACGACTCATTTGAATGCATGTGGCACCAACATTCTAAGAAATATTATGAATCATTTTTTTAAAGCAGAAGCACACAAGCATGGCATGCATGCTTGGAATTATAAGTATTAGGCCTTAAACTAGTAATTATAGAATGTCAAGACTAACCTGGGTCCTGACCAAATATGTCAAGTATGGCCTCTACCAGACCAAGCACATACACTCCACACGCGCACACCTTGGCAAGGAAGAACATGAGACCAATGCTTCCTCCAAACTCTGGGCCCAACGATCGACTGATCATGACTGGCAGACATTAGGTCAAGGGGTTAAATATTACTGATCTGGTGTGCATCATTAGTAAAGGTTAGTAAAGTCACTCTGCTCAGTTGGTTGAATCACATGATGCACACCAGATGTGGTCATCAGTGTATTCAGATGATGTAATCAAAAACACTTATCTTCTTCAATTATTTTACTACAAAACATAGCAACCCGCTGGCACTATGTTGATGTTAGGGTGGTTCTGGAGATTATGAATATGAGGTTGAAAAGTAGTGAAATTTCCCATTAAAGATATAAGGGCTAGAAATGACTGTAGATATGTGTCATCAAGTTTGACTAGTAAGAACTTAAGTTTTACACTGCACTCATACTATAGACCAATAGAAACACACTTGCAAAATACAGTACCTTCAGAAAGTATTCACACCTCTTGACTTTTTCCACATTGTTGTGTTACAGCCTGAATTTAAAATGGATTACATTGAGATTTTTTTGTCACTGGCTACACACAATACGCCATAATGTCAAAGTGAAATTATGTTTTTAGAAATGTTTACAAATGAATAACAAATAAAAAGCTGTATTCAAGTATTCAACCCCTTTGTTATGGCAGTTCAGGAGTAAGAATTAGCTTAACAAAATAAGTTGCATGGACTCACTCTGTGTGCAATAATAGTGTTTAACATGATTTTTGAATGACTGCCTCATCTCTGTACCCCACACATACAATTATCTATAAGGTCCCTCAGTCGAGCAGTGAATTTCAAACACAGATTCAACCACAAAGACCAGGGAGGTTTTACAATGCCTCACAAATTTGGTAGATGGCAAAAAATAAAAAGCAGACATTGAATATCCCTTTGAGAATGGGGAGGATATTAATTACACTTTGGATGGTGTATCAATACACCCAGTCACTACAAAGATACAGGCGTCCTTCCTAACTCAGTTGCCGGAAAGGAAGGAAACCGCTCAGGGATTTCACCATGAGGCCAATGGTGACTTTAAAACAGTTACAGAGTTTAATGGCTGTGATAGGAGAAAACTGAGGATGGATCAACCACATTGTAGTTACGCCACAATACTAACCTAATTGACAGTGAAAAGAAGGAAGCCTGTACAGAATAAAAAATATTCCAAAACATGCATCCTGTTTGCAACAAGGCACTAAAGTAACACTGCAGAAAATGTGGCAAAGAAATTAAGTTTTTGTCCTGAATACAAAGTGTTATGTTTAGGGCAAATCCAATACAACACATTCCTGAGTACCACTCTCCATATTTTCAAGCATAGTGGTGGCTGCATCATGTTTTGGGTGTGCTTGTAATCATTAAGGACTGGGGAGTTTTTCAGGATAAAAAAATTAACAGAATGGAGCTAAGCACAGGCAACATCCTAGAGGAAAACCTGATTGTCTGCTTTCTACCAGACACTGGGAGATGAATTCACTATTTAGCAGGACAATAACCTAAAACACAAGGCCAAATCTACATGGGAGTTTTGACTTAAATCAGCTTGAAAATCTATGGCAAGATTTGTGGTGTGAGAAAGAACCAGTGTTAAGGATACAATAGGCCCCACCTCCCTGCACAGCACCATTGGTGGAAATAGCACAGATGGACAAGATGGTGAGGGAGATAATGGTGTAGGCTACAAGCAGCATCACAAGACCCTGCAAGAGCCCCGCATGACCAACCACAAACCCTATGGGGAAACATCATTACACAGTATTAGTATTGTTACAGGACCACAATACAGTAGCCTAATGCATTCACATGCATGCACACAGTTACACCTTTTTAAAATGAACTAGCAGAGCTTGAAGCCAAAAGCAGCTTGACCATCAACAAGCATCACTGTATGTTGCATGGTGAATAATTCCACATTCACAGCCTATATTTTTAATTGTCTGACATCTAGATGCTGCACTCACCAGTTCTGAGGAAGAGGACAATGCTGAACATGGAGAGGACGGTGGGCACTATCACCCCGAAGAAGGTGTTGAGTTTTCGGGGTACAGCATTAGGAGTGCTGGCCTCCCCAGTGCCATCGGACCCCCCCATGCCACATACTGCTGTGTCTACAGACAGACCACACACCCCATGGGCGAGGAGGGGTGTGTGTTCATTAGACATGGCCTTCAGGAGAAGCCTATTGTATATTTAGATGGTCTAGACGTCCTCTTTTGTAACCCTGTTAAATGTTGACATTCTTTGTATAAATTAGATTATAAAAAACAAGTTGGTAAGAAAGCTGACAATTGGACAGATTCCTGAAAACACAGTATAGCTTTATATTTACGAAAAATAGTAGGTTATGCAAACAAAAAAATATAAGGGGAGAGGGGAGGGTTTTAAATTAAAAAAACAACACCTTCAGACTACGAGCCACCAGAAAAACATCAGACATTGTAAATAAATAGCATACTTCAAAGACGTGCGAGCTACAACACTGACTACACGACACATCATGCAACATCAACATACATCATATTGAATTTATTACAATTTAACAAGAGTTGCGCGATAGTATCGAGTTTACGTTTGTTTCATTTATCCAAAAAGGGGAAGTGGGGCTGGGACATAGAGCGGTTCTTGGTGAGGTCATTCAACAATTCAATTTCGCAATTCCGTACACTTGTAGTTTGACTAATAATAACATTTTTGTTTACTTTGCAATCATGGCTATTGTAGCTATAGCCAGATGAAAACAGCCACTCACCTATTCTTCGTCAGTGGGAATAAACGCGCGCACTTCCGGTTGTTAAAAACTCACCCTCTGCCTCTGGCTGACTAGCTGACTGCTCCCTTATTTCAGTTTATAGCTGGATGATTTCTGCAAGTTATCAACGCGTAATGTAAAGGCATACACAGCCGTGCTTTGTTAGTTGATCTAACTAGATTAGAAAACTACTGGCTATAGGTAGCATAGGCTACAGATAAATTATCCAACTGCTCATAAAAGGTAGAAAATATAATGCCGCAATCTGAACAGCTTTCATTCAAATCTACATGTGTATTCTCCCTATGACAATGAAAATTGACCTGCTTGCAGGTATGATGCTGTCTACTTGCAGCCTCATCTAGTTACTTGCTATTTTTTCTGTGCAGGTCACGGGACAGTAGAAACTGCTCATGTGACTGCCAAAAAGGGGAGGGTGAAAATCTGTCTGTAGCTAGGTTTCCATCCAATTGGCGACAGATTTTCATGCGAATATTCTAAAATGCGCATAAAAACAATAAACGCATTTTCCAACCAGAGATGTGTTTCTATCAAATTGACTTGTTGCAGATAACAGGCTGTGCGTGATGACGTGGTGCACATAAAAATACCGTTTGCGGTTTTATCATATCACCAAAAGTTCATCATAATTTATTTCATCTGCAGTGGGTGAAAAATACCAGGGCTGTTCTCTTGATAAGTGCGTGAATTGGACCACTTTCCTGTCCTGCTAAGCGTTCCAAATGTATTGAGTAGGCCTACTTTTGTGTGTCAGGGAAAATGTATGGAGTAAAAAGTACAACATTTTCTTTAGGAATGCAGTGAAGTAAAAGTAAAAGTTGTCAAAAACATAAATAGTAAGGTACAGATACCCAAAAAAACTACTTAAGTAGTTATTTTCCACAGATAGTGTTGTCCAGTCCTCCACCTACCTGTTGGAGTGAAAGACCAGAGGTGAATAGAGCAGGTTGGTTGAGAGGAGAGGATGGGTTAGGGGTGCATCTGACAGACAGTCAGACGCATACCAAATACAAAGTATGTGGACACCCCTTCAAATTAGTGGATTCGGCTATTTCAGCCACATGACAGGTGTATAAAATCTCCAAAGACAAACAGTAGAATGGCCTTACTGAAGAGCTCAGTGACTTTCAACGTAGCACCGTCATAGGATGCCACCTTTCCAACAAGTCATTTCGTAAAATGTCTGTCCTGCTAGAGCTGTCCCGGTCAATGACAAGTGCTGCTATTGTGAATGTCTAGGAGCAACAACAGCTCAGCCGCGAAGTGGTAGGCATCACAAGCGCACAGAACGGGACCACCGAATGCTGAAACGTGTAAAAGTCATATGTTCTCAGTAGCAACAATCACTACCGAGTTCCAAACTGCCTCTGCCAAGCGTTGGCTGCAGCGGTGTAAAGCTCGCCGCCATTGGACTCTGGAGCAGTGGAAACGCGTTCTCTTGAGTGATGAATCACGCTTCACCATCTGGTAGTCTGACGGCAAATCTGGGTTTGGTGATGCCAGGAGAACGCTACCTGCCCGAATGCATAGTACCAACTGTAAAGTTTGGTGGTGGAGGAGGAATAATGGTTGGGGCTGTTTTTCATGGTTCAGGCTCCTTAGGCTCCAGTGAAATGAAATCTTAACGGCTACAGCATACAATTACATTCTAGACGATTCTGTGCTTTCAACTTTGTGGCAACAGTTTGGGGAAGGCCCTTTCCTGTTTCAGTATGACAATGCCCCAGTGCACAAAGCGAGGTCCATAAAGAAATGGTTTTTCGAGATCGGTGTGGAAGAACTTTGACTGGCCTGCACAGAGCCCTGACCTCAACCCCATCGAACACCTTTGGGATGAATTGAAATGCTGACTGTGAGCCAGGCCTAATCACCTAACATCAGTGCCCAACCTCACTAATGCTCTTGTGGCTGAATGGAAGCAAGTCCCTGCAGCAATGTTCCAACATCAAGTGGAAAGCCTTCCCAGAAGAGTGGAGGCTGTTATAGCAGCAAAGGGGGGACCAACTCCCATGATTTTGGAATGAGATGTTTGACGAGCAGGAGTCCACATACTTTTGGTCATGTAGTGTACTTTACGCCACTGTTCATCTGTAGCCTAATAAGCTGCATGCTTTCCAGATGAGTCATAGTGGGAGGACCACACACCATATCATGTGTCCCCAAGTTTACTTGGTTATTATATCAATATATGCGCATAAAGGTGTTTCCACCGCCATTTCTCGCATAATTAATTTTACTGACCCCAAAAGATCCCACCATGTCGAACGAACAAATTATCTGTCGGCATTTATAAAATTGTACCGAAACGTCCTGTTTCCATCGCAGCTGTCGTGATTATTTTTTATATGGTATGACTTTACCTGCATAAAATTAGGGCCCTGTGTTTTGCATAGTCATTACTTTTTTAAATTTTACCTAACAGTCCACTTTTTCATGTCCAGCAGACAAGAGTATATTGAGTAGAACGTCATTAGATAGTCTCAAATACTTTATATTTTTTAAGAGCAAAGGGGCTGGCAGGTAGGATTTAGTTTCTCCCGGTCTCTGGCCCACACTCCAGTACAGTAGGTGGTCCAGCACCATCCTCTGACAATTGCTTTCATTTTTGTGTAATTCTCATTTTTGGATAAGGCTTAAAATACAGGATAAAATCTTGCTGTCTGTCACATGATTGTACAAAACACAGGGCCCTAGATGAGCAATGCCAGACAGCAAGGGCAGGGTAGTATAGGTATCTGCATTTTGTGATGTGTAGAACATATTGTAATAACCATATTTTTTGATGAATAAACTTGGTGTCTAGGGCACTGTTTCAGATGTTCTATTTTACTGTAACAATGCAAAAAAAAATAATCCAATAATACTCTGAAAATATGACTTTATTGGTAAATTATCATGTAAATCAAAAACGTACAAAAATAAATAAATTGCTGTTCAAAATGAACAGGCTAAAGAAAACAATATAGAACAGAAGCATCACTTTAAATACATATTTTCCCCTTCACAGTTTTGGGCTTTATAATTATAGTGTTAAACTGTTGATAAAGATGTATGTGATACCAACAAAAATACACTTTTCATTTCTGTATTGAGCCATCAACTCAGCTCAAGTGTTCTGTATTTCCATTTGACCACGTATGTGTGTGTCTGTAGTTAACGGAAATCAATCCTTGATGCCAAACTGTTGAATAAACCTTTCCAGGTGGAATCTGCAGACCTGCTCCTATCTGTGACTGCATAATGAACTTTTATGCCAATTAAGAAAATTGTGAACAAGCAGCAATATAAATAGATGATTCTTTACATGATCAGCTTCTGTGTACATTGTCAATTAAATATTAACTTTTGATTAGGATGAACTTAACACACAAAATTAGTACCATCATATCACGTTTACAAAATATGTTTGTATGAATGTGCGTACCAAATCTATCCTGATCAGGAATCCAGGGACTGTGAGTGGAGGTGTGGCCATGTGTAGGAGGGCCCTGCTTGGAGTAGAGACAGTGCCACTGCCGGATGGGGTGTGGTGGGAGCAGGTGAGTGGGTCAGCCTGTGCTTCTTGAGCTGGCCCAGCTCCCTGAAACAGCAGCCACACTGGGCACAGCGATAGGGCCTCTCCCCAGTGTGGATGCGCTGGTGCTTATGCAGACTGTCCAGGTGGCGGAAACGCTTCTCGCAATACCTGCAGGGATACGGCCGCTCACCTGTGTGAATGCGCTGGTGTGTCTTCAGGCAGTAGAAGCGGCGGAAGCCCCGGCCACACACGTTGCAGCGATGCACCTTATCCGAGCTCTCCATTTGGACTTCAAAAGCCCCAATAAGACCAGGGTCCCCTGCAGGGGGTGGGACAAACCCCATGAAGTTACCATCATTGTCACCATCATTGTTATCAATGTGAGCTGGCATCTGTGGCAGTTGTTGTGATGATTCAGGGAGCTGGGACTCCATCATACTAGGGACATCAGGGTCGTTTTCAATTTTAACTGTTCTTTTGACTTCATCCACCTCATCGAGCACCTGGATCAGGCCCAGGTCATTCACATTGCCTGCTGGGTGACTCTGACCCATCTCCAACTCAAAGTTGGTAATATCAGGAGTTCTGCGAGGGACCTCTGCTGCCACTGTTCCCCCCTCCTGCTTGTGTTGAATTATTCCAGAGTCCTCTCCTCCACTTGCACAGACTTTGTACTCTGAAAGAGATGAATGATATCATGATCAGTGAGCAGGAGACTTTTCATTTGTTGAGTACATGCAAATAGGGTGATTCCATGCCAGCATAGCCTGAAAATATTTTTGGTATCTCCAATTGTTCTGGCAATTCTCATATAGAAACTTCATTGGGAGGAAGTATGTTTGATATGCTTTTTACATTTGTTATCATGATTAAAAACATGATAATTAAAGTGTCAATTTTAGGCCCTTTTTGGACCCAATGATCCATGAACCGTATATGATACAGACAAAACCTTGGTGTCATACTCCTAATAGTGTGCTCCAGTATCGCTACATTCTGAAATACAATTTTACACATGCATTTATTCAACATTAAAACGACTAATATTAATATCTCAACAGTACCCTTTTAGATTTGGTTAATTTTTTGACATTGTTTTAAACAATATACAAGTACATCACATTTCCAGAGTGGAGACTTACTTTTAAAGTTCTGATCAATTTTATGACCAACACAGTGAACGCGAAAATGGGTTCAAAAGGAACTGTGGTCCTCTGTAGCTCAGTTGGTAGAGCATGGCGCTTGTAACGTCAGGATAGTGGGTTCGATTCCCGGGACCACCCATATGTAAAATGTATGCACGCATGACTGCAAGGTGCTTTGGATAATAGCGTCTGCCTAATGGCATACATTATAACTCCCTCTGATGGTGATTTGCTGAATCCTACAGGAGGGCTGTGATTGGTTAATTAACTATAATGTCAATTTCTATGTATACATTTGATAATTTCTTCAAAAGTAGCAGAGCCCACTCTGGAAATGTGATGTATTTGATGAGTATATTGTTCCAAACAATATGTCTAACAAATAAACAAAATCAAAAAGGGTACTTTTGAGATACTAATAATATTTTACATTGAATAAATTAATGTGATTTTTTATTTTATTTCAGAATATTTTAGAGCAGATTATAAGGAGTATAATGACACCAAGATGTATGTACCATCCATGTATGGTTCACAGATCATAGGGTCTTTCAGGAAGCATGTATAGGTCTAAAAAGAGCATAAAACGGCCACTTTCATCATGATTTTCTCAAAAATGGTTTGTGAAACAAAGGTAAAAAGACTGTTAAAAATACTTTTTTTATGTGAGAATTGCCTGAACAATCTGAGATACCCTAAATATTTTATGTGTAGGGCATAAGCCTACCTTTCTCTGCAACACCATCGTCTGTAATGTAGAATTGACCCTCTGTATCCTCCTCAGTGTGATGAGGTGAGTTTCCAACCTCTAATTGTGGCACTTTGGATGTTCGTGAGGGATTGGTAGAAGAGACAGTGGAGGAGGATGTCCGTATTCTTGTCAAGCTTTCGCTGCTCCTGGGCCATTCATGCTGTACTGTTGGTAAGCAAAGACCTACACTGGGGAGTGACTTAGAAAACTGTGATCGTGTGGATGAGCCTCGAAACGACTTGGGCCCACGGGTCGTGAGCATGTTGGAAGGACTCCCCGAAGCAGTGGGGGGAAAGAGAAAAAGAGACTCTTCTGAACCAGGACCTAAAGCACCGGATCTAGGCTGGTTGTGATTAAGAAGTAAACACTGTTTGATGTTCTTCTCGGCTGCTGTCATGTAGTAGCGTGTAGCTTTGAGTTCACCCTCCGATACGTCAAGTCTCTCTCTCAAACTTTGGTTCTCACGATGAGACTCAGCAGCAGCAGTCCGAGCTGCGGCCAGTTTGATACCGACTACTCTAGCAGTTTCCTTCAAAACGGTTTCTACTGCACACGTCACTGCCTGTTCGATGGTAGATGCAAGTTCATATTTGAGGAAAGAGACACTGGTCTCCATCGTCAAACTCATGGTAGTGATTAGCTAGATGTGATGTTTCCCAACAGTTCGAAAAAGTTCCAACTGCAAAATAACAGAAGCCTCAGGATTCAGTCCTTGTTGTTTGGGTAAGCAAGGTAGCTAGCTGGTTAGCGAGCTAGTTAGATAGATAGCAAACAGTCTAGTTAGCCTCTGGCTAGACAAAAGACTGACTGTTTATAATTCTATAGAAAATAGCTTTTAAATCAAACAAAATGAACAACTAAACTACTCATACTTTGAGTCAAATTGTTTCTCGAATATTCTTACTCAAAAACGTGGAAAATGTTTTGCTAGCTCACCTACCCCACGCATCAGCTTTTGTGTAGCATAGTTATGACGTCAAAAGTGGAATATTCTTCTTTGGTGGGGTTTATCGGCGGTTGGCATCCAACGTTATGGTGCATTATCGCCATCTACTGTACTGGAGTGTGGGCCAGAGACAGGGAGATGCGAAATACTACTTGCCAGCCCCGTTGCTCTATGAAAAGATAACAAAATAATTGAGACTATATCTAATGAAGTTCTAGTCAATATACTCTTTCAACTAATTTCCTGTATCCCCTTCTCTCTCATACTAGATCTCAGCCTCTCTCTTTCCCTCTGATACTGCCCACACTGTAGCAATACATGCTCCACGGTTTCTGTTTCCTGGCAATAATCACACTTTCCTGTTGGATGCTTTCCTATCACATTTAAGGTCTAATTCAACCGGCGGTGTCCCACCCTTGATCTTATAAAAATAGCCTCCTCTCTTCTGTCCCTTCCTGTCGTCCTCCCCTCCCCGACTTTCCTCTGTACTTGAAATAAATGCCTGCCCTTAGTATCTCTATTCCACTGCTACTGCCATCTCTGCACCAACACTGTCCATATCAGGCTTTTTGCCTCTGCCTTACTCATTGAAACTTCAACATCAACATCCCCACTATAAAGTGCTTGTTTAGCAAGTACATCAACTGCCTCGTTCCCTTCCACCCCCACATGGGCTGGGACCCAAGTAAATCGTATCTGTATACCCATCTGTCTAATCCTGCCATGGGTTTGTAGCACCTCATAAAGCAGGTCTTGTCTGCTACTTGAGCTAAAGGACTGGAGACTCATCAACACGTCACATGAATCAGAGCAAATAACTACTCTGTCTGGCTTAACTTCCTCCACCCACTGCAAGGCCCACAGTATGGCCATCAGCTCCACCGTACATACAGCCAGATGATCTGTAATACGTTTCCTGACTTCCACCCCACATTCCTGCACTACAAATACTGACCCAGTACGTCCTGTCCTTGGATCTTTTGAACCATCTGTGTAAATGGCCACAAAATCCTGATACACAGTATCCAGACGTCTCTTTAAAAAATCAGATGGATCAACACCCTCCCTATCTTTCTGTAGTCTCTCCAACACTTCTAGATCAACTACTGGAGGCGGGAGTAGCCATGGTGGATTTACAGGAATAGCTATCATTGGACTGATCTCCCTTCCATACAGTCCCTTCGCCTGGGCATTACACTCCCACGCAAAGCTTGTGTTCTGTCTTTGCTCATGTTCCCAGCATGCCTGTAAAATCCCACCCTCACCTGGATAGACCTTTCAAACAGGAAATCCTTTATCCAGTTGTACGTTCTTCCTCCTACCCCCATAAAATCAAGCTTGATTAACAACCCCTCCTTCCACATCATATCATATGCCTTCTCCACATAAAAAAAGACAGCTACAGCAGTCTCCTTGTTCACTTGAGCCTTCCTGACCTCTGCTTCTAAGCAGAACACTGGGTCAGTAGTTCCCCTACCCTTCCTGAACCCAATCTGATGTGGCAATACTAGCCCCCTGCTCTCCAGGAAGTAAGTTAGCCTCTCTGTAATCAAACGTTCCATAATCTTACATACATGTGATGTTAAAGATATTGGCCGATAACTTGTTGGCCTCATTGGGTCCTTCCCTGGCTTCCGGATTGGTACCACTACTGCCTCCTTCCAGCTGCCTGGTAGTTTCCCCTCCTCCCACACTCTGTTGTACAACACCAATACCTTATCCAGTGCCTCATCACTAAGATGGGCCAACATAACATAGCACACCTCATCATTCCCAGGTGAAGTTAACCCAGCCTTACCTATTGTCCTTTTCAACTCCACCATGTTAAATGGTGCATTCAACGCATAATTTACATCCCCCCTCCTATCCAGCACTCCAGGATGCTCATCTCTCGTTCTCTCTCTCCCCCTCTGCCCCACCTCTGACAAATTTGCAGAGCTATGCACTTGGACAAACGTTTTGGCCATCATCTCTGCCTTCTCTTCATCTGTTAGGAGCATGTTGTGGGCATTAAAATACCCACACCACATGACCTTACTTCTTTCCTGGCCCTCCACCCTCTCCAGCACTTCCAGGTACAATATTTGACACGGATTATAGTAGTTCACTACCACTAGCACCCCTCCTCTCAACCATACCTCCACCACCACATATTCCTGTTCAATACCTTTGCCTAGTATTCACCCCGTAGCACTCACTTCTGTCATCATGAAGTGCTTTGAGAGGCTAGTTAAGGATCATATCACCTCTACCTTACCTGACACCCTACACCCACTTCAATTTGCTTACCTTCCCAATAGATCCACAGACGATGCAATCGCCATCGCACTGCACACTGCCCTATCCCATCTGGACAAGAGGAATACCTACGTCGGAATGCTGTTCATTGACTATAGGTCAGCCTTCAACACCATAGTACCCTCCAAGCTCATCATTAAGCTCAGGGCCCTGGATCTGAACCCCGCCCTGTGCAACTGTGTCCTGGACTTCCTGACGGGACGCCTCCAAGTGGTGAAGGTAGGAAACAACACCTACACTTCGCTGATCCTCAACACAAGGGCCCCACAAGGGTGCGTGCTCAGCACCCTCCTGTACTTCCTGTTCACCCCTGACTGGGTTGCAACGCACACCTCCAAATCAATCATCAAGTTTGGAGACGACACAACAGTAGTAGGCCAACAGTAGATTACCAACGATGACGAGACAGCCTACAGGGAGGAGGTGAGGGCCCTGGCAGAGTGGGGCTAGGAAAATAACCTCTCTCTCAACGTCAACAAAACGAAGGAGCTGATCGTGGACTTCAGGAAACAGCAGAGGGAGCACACCCCTATCCACATCAACGGGACCACAGTCGAGAAGGTGGAAAGCTTCAAGTTCCTCGGCGTACACATCACTGACAATCTGAAATGGTCCATCCACACAGACAGTGTGGTGAAGAAGGCGCAACAGCGCCTCTTCAACCTCAGGAGGCTGAAGAAATTCTGCTAGGCCCCTGACATCCTCAGAAACTTTTACAGATGCACAATTGAGAGCATCCTGTCAAGCTGTATCACCGCCTGGTGCGGCAACTGCACCGCCCGCAACCGCAGGGCTCTCCAGAGGGTGGTACCATCTGCCCAACGCATCACCGGGGGCACACTGCCTGCCCTCCAGGACACCTACTGCACCCGATGTAACAGGAAGGCCAAAAAGATCATCAAGGACATCAACCACCCGAGCCACTGCCTGTTCACTGCCTATCATCCAGAAGGCGAGGTCAGTACAGGTGCATCAAAGCTGGGACCGAGAGACTGAAAAACAGCTTCTATATCAAGGCCGTCTGTTAAATAGCCATCACTAGCCGGCTACCACCCGGCTACTCAACCCTGCACCTTAGAGGCTGCTGCCCTATATACACAGACATGGAATCACTGGCCACTTTAATAGTGGCACACTAGTCACTTTAATAATGTTTACATACTGCTTTACTCATCTCATATGTATATACTGTATTCTATTCTACTGTATTTAGTCAATGCCACTCCAGACATTGCTTGTCCTAATATTTATATATTTCTTAATTCCATTCTACTTTTAGATTTGTGTATTATTGTGAATTGTTAGATACTACTGCACTGTTGGAGCTAGGAACACAAGCATTTCGCTACACCCGCAATAACATCTGCTAAATATGTGTATGTGACCAATAAAATATGAAGTCCTTGCTTTATGAAGGTGGCACAACCCCCCCTCCCCCCTCGTGTCCCAGTCTCAGCCTTGTGATTACACTTTCCTCCCTTCTCTCTCGGCCTGAGGACATCCCGCCCCCACCTTTTCCTGGATCTTATACAGGTGTCTTCCCTTTCTCTCCCTGTTCCACAACTCTTGCCATTTGTTTTTTAACCACTGTTCTTAATAACCCCTTGGCTTCTGCTTTACTGATTGACAATTCCATCTCAACATTAGAACGTTTAAGAGCCTGCTTGGCGATAACATCCACCTCCTCATTCCCCTCTACTCCCACATGAGCTGGTACCCAGAGGAACATCACAAATACCCCCATCTGTTTCACCCTATACAAGCACTGCAAAACCTCATACAATACATCCTGTCTGCTCTGAGACACAAATGCATTTAAGCTCATCAGTGCTGCACAGGAGTCAGAGCAGATGACTACCCTGTCTGGCTTCACCTCCTCCACCCACTCTGCAGCCAATAGTATGGCCAACAACTCCATTGTGTAAACAGATAAATTATCTGTTGCTCTTTTTGTCACTTCCACCTTATACTCATGACCATTAAAAGCTGCACCTGTCCTCCCTGTTTTAGGGTCCTTAGACCCATCTGTGAATATATTCAAGAAAGCATAGTATTGTGTTCTTAAATATTCACTTATAACTGAATCTACTCCTTCCTCAACATCTCTAACACTCTCAAGCAACCCTAGATTTACAGTGCATTCGGAAAGTATTCAGACCCCTTGACTTTTTCCACATTTTGTTACATTACAGCCTTATTCTAAAATGTATTAAATTACTTTTATACTCATCAATCTACACACAATACCCCATAATGACAAAGCGTCATGTTAGAAATGTTTGCAAATGTATTAAAAATAAAAAACAGAAATACCTTATTTACATAAATATTCAGACCCTTTGCTATGAGACTTGAAATTCAGCTCAGGTGCATCCTGTTTCCAT